CTTCTGAGGGTCTGGGAAGGTGAATACCTCCCGCGCGGCCCCGCTGCTGGTGCGCAGTGACCTCTCCAGGCCGCTTGGGATGTACTCTTCAGCGAGACATGTGGGCCGCTGGCTCCGGACAACCCTGCCCGCAATGTGCAGGGGGAGTTTTGCGCCAGTGCACCCTCTCGGCCTCCGTAGCCCCAGGCGGAGGGAAAAGACGAATATCTTAAAAACTTCTATTGCTATCTCAATCAGAAAGGAGTGTGGTGTTGTGGACCAGTTCGCAAGATGAGCTTGGCCGCAAATGCGGGGTCCGTGGTGGGGCCGCGGGGTAGCCTGACGCCGACGGGGCGCCGGGTCGTGAAGCGGAAAATCGACGATTCGGGAAATGAATCGAGTCGGAACGGCCGGTATGCGACGCGAACGACTGCGAAGGCGACGTCGGCGAAGGAGAACGATTGTGCGACTGATGCGAGGAATGGAGCCAACGACAGTGGCGAGGGCCTGGCGGCGCTCCAGCACGTTTCGGAGCTCCTGGGCGATTGCCGGGCTGAGTTCGCGGGGTTCAAGCAGATGATCCGCGGTCAGAGCGAGCTGATCCGCACCCAGCAAGAGACTATCCAAGACCTGAAGGAGGCGGCCGATGAGCAGAGAAGCTTGATCAGGGATCTGAAAGTCGCGCTGGAGGACACGAAACAGCATATGGGCTTGGAACTGAAGCGACTGAGCGACAAACTGGAAGCCATCACGGCGCGCCCTTCCATTACCCCGCCGCGATCTTTCGCTGAGGTGGCGGGGTCACAACGGCCGTCGCAGCCCGCAACCGTGACGCCTAGCGAGACGGCGGCCGCCCCTCTCGCCGGTTCGCTCTATTGCACGATCGACACGTCGCGAGTGGAACAAGCGAACAGGGATCGTGTGCAGGTGGGAGAAGTCCGGCAAGCCATTGAAGTAGAGATGAGGGCCAAGGACGGCCGGGCAGCTTGGCGGTGCGCGGCGGTCGTGAGGGACGCCCGGGCCGCGGAGCGCATCAAGGTAATCTGCAGAGACGAAAACGAACTGAAGCAGGTGAAAGAGGCTGCGCAGAAGACAGCCGTCGTCGGCGCAAGAGTCATGCGAGACCAGCTCTATCCAGTGAAAGTGGACAATGCGAACAGGAGCAGGGTGCTCGATGCAGAAGGAAACGTGCTGCCGGGGGCTGCCGAAGCACTGGGTGCAGAAAATAAGGTCAACATCGCTAAGATGTCTTGGTTGAGTAACAAGGAGTCGGGAAAAGCTTATGGATCGATGGTGGTCTACGTCACCAAGGAGAGCGATGCGAGACGGCTCGTTGACGGTCATTATTTCGACCTAGCCGGCGAGTCGGCTACCACGAACGTGTTTGAACGACGCACCGGACCCGTGCAGTGTTACAACTGCCAGGCCATTGGACATAAATCCTTCCAATGCAAGAACGCGCAAGTCTGCGGAAGATGCGCGATGCCGGGACATCACCGCAAAGAGTGCCAAGCGGCAGAACCGAGATGCGTGCCGTGCGGAGGGCCGCACGAGTCGCTCGGCCGGAACTGTCGTATGCGGAGCACACGCAGCAATAATGAGTAAGACCTTAAGCATCTTACAACTGAATGTACGAAAGCGAGAACCGGTTCAGCAAAGCTTGATGAACGACGATGCACTGAAAGACTTCGGTGTGTTGGCAGTCTCCGAGCCGTATGCAAGGCTGGTGGACGACAGCGTGGTCACGAGCCCGATGTGGCACAGCAACTGGACGAAGATGATACCCACGCAGAGGCACGATGCCCTCTGGCCGATCCGGAGCATGCTCTGGGTGAGGAGCGATCTTGAAGCGGAGCAGGTCCCTATTCCCTCGGCGGACCTCACAGCAACGATGCTTCGGCTGCCGGAGAGGGATGTTCTGATCGTGTCCGTGTATGTGCAAGGAAAGAGCTCGGATATGCTGATCTCTGCCATGGGTGCACTGCACGAATTGATCAGGTCGTTCCGTGACAGCACGGGCAGGCGCGCCGATGTGGTGTTGGCGGGGGACTTCAATCGGCATGACCTGCTCTGGGCCGGCGACGACGTCTCGGCCAGGAGGCAAGGCGAAGGTGAACCGATCATAGATCTCATGAATGAGCACGGCCTTCGGAGCCTGCTTCCGAGGGGAACGAGGACATGGCAAGGCTCGGGCCAGGAAAGCACCATCGACCTGATATTGGCCACCTCAGAGCTGGCAGACGAGATGATGATTTGCGCCCCGCACTCAACGGATCACGGGTCAGACCATCGGGCAATCCATACGACTTTCGATGTAGCGCTGCCCGAACGGGTCACGACGCCAAGATTGATGTTCAAGAACGCTCCCTGGAATCTCATCAGAGCAAGAGTGGATGAGGGCCTCAGGGAGCTCACGTGGACGGTCGATGTGCAAGAACAGACCGACCAGCTCATGCGCGTGGTCTTAGACGCGATCGATGAGCTTACGCCTCGAGCAAAGCCTGCACCGTACGCCAAGCGTTGGTGGTCGAGGGATCTAACACAACTACGTCGGTTGTACACGTTCTGGCGGAACCAGGCTAGGTCGCAACGGCGGGCGACGCACGACAGCCCGGATCTGGAACGGCGGGCCAAGGAAGCAGCCAAAGAATACCACGACGCTATACGGAGACAGAGGAAGTCACATTGGGAAGACTTCCTGGCCGAAGATATTAACATCTGGAAGGCAGCCAAGTATCTCGAACCTGGCAGGGACGACATGAGCGACAAAGTGCCGCCACTAAAGAAGGGTGATGGAACCATAACGAACAATAAGGTGGAACAGGCGGAAAAACTGCTCGACACGTTCTTCCCGCCACTGCCAGCGAGAATCGAAGAGGAGGGGTTGCGCCCACAACGGAGAACAGTAGCCCTGCCGGATTTGACTCTGGAAGAGGTCGAAGTCAAAGTCATGGCGGCGAAGCCGTGGAAAGCGGCCGGAACGGACGGCCTGCCGGCGATGGTGTGGAGGCAGCTCTGGCCAGTAGTGAAGCATCGCGTTCTGGTGCTCTTCCGGGCATCGCTCCGAGATGGCGTCGTGCCTCACCAGTGGCGGACGGCAAAGATTATTCCGCTAAAGAAGCCGGAAAAAGGAGACTACACAGAGGCGAAGGCGTGGCGACCGATATCACTTCTGTCAACACTGGGCAAAATCTTAGAAGCGGTCGTCGCGGAGCGCATATCGTACGTGGTAGAGGCCTACGGGCTCCTGCCTGCGAACCATTTTGGAGCGCGGAAACGACGGTCGGCTGAGCAAGCTCTCCTTCTCTTGCAAGAACAGATCTACAAAGCATGGAGAGCCCGGAAAGTACTAAGTCTGGTCAGCTTCGATGTCAAGGGCGCGTACAATGGAGTGTGCAAGGAACGATTGCTGAAAAGGCTGAGGGCCAGAGGGATACCAGAGCAGGTGGTCAACTGGGTCGACGCGTTCTGCTCTGCTAGAACGGCCACGATCGTCGTGAACGGGCACACGTCGGAACTGCGCGACTTGCCACAAGCCGGCCTCCCACAGGGGTCGCCGTTGTCGCCTGTGCTGTTCTTGTTCTTCAACGCAGACCTGGTGCAGCGGAGGATTAAGGCGGCAGGCGGATCAATCGCATTTATTGACGATTACTCGGCTTGGGTGACCGGCCGGACCGCAGAAGCGAACCGGGCAGGCATTCAGTCGATCATTGATGAAGCACTCGATTGGGAGAAGCGCAGTGGCGCGACCTTTGAGGTGGACAAGACGACGATCGTCCACTTTACGCGCGGCACTGCGCGATATGACGGGTCATTCTGGATCAAGGGCACGGAGGTCAAACCCAAGGCCAGCGCAAAGATTCTGGGCGTGATCATGGACTCCGGATTGCGGTACCAGGAACATATGGCCAGAGCTGCCCAGAAGGGCCTGGCCGGTGCCATGAACTTGAGGAGGCTGAAATTACTCTCACCGAGGGTAGCGAGACAGTTGTTCACGGCGACGGTCGCCCCTGCCATGGACTATGCGTCGAATGTCTGGATGCACGCGCGTCGAGCGAAAGAAACTGGCTGGTTGAACAAGGCGCAACGAATCGGCGCGCAGGCCATCACAGGATCGTTCCAGACCGTGGCAACCGCCGTGGCGGAGGCCGAGGCCGGCATCCGCGCAGTTGGGGAACGGCACAAGCAGGCTGCGACGAGGCTCTGCGTGGACCTGCGGACGCTGCCGCAAACGCACCCATTGGCAGCACTGAAGAACAAAGCAAGCAAGCGGTATCTCTCGCCAATGCAAGGCATTGCCGCGCTGGTGGCTAAAGGATCCACGGAGCGAATGGAAGTCATTAACGAGTATGCATTACGGCCATGGACGGACCGTATCCCTTTGTTGGGTGAGGACGACCCCGAAGGGGCCCAGACACCATATGACGTACAGAACATCCTGATAGCAACCGCGGCGTCGCAGAGGAACGACGTTGTGGGCATGGGAGGCGCCGTTTGCGACACAACGCTTGGCGGCATGGGCCACACTCTTGCCACTTTTTCCGTCACCATCGGACCTGGAAGCGAACAAAATCCGTACACGGCAGAGCTCGAAGCGGTAGCGACCGCGCTCAGATCTATACCACCAAGCCTTGTCGCCCAGGATGTGACAATAGCGGTAGGTAACCGATCGGTAGTGGCAGCGATCAGACGACCTCAGCAGCAATCTGGACAGTGCACTATCAGTGGGATCTACGATCAGATGAAACGACTTCAGAAGAGAGGCTGTACCGTCAGACTTATGTGGGTACCGGCCGGTGAAGAAGAGTTCGCGCCGCGGCAATTGGCCAAAGCCGCAGCGAAACGAGGCACGGAAAGGGGATGCGAGGCGGAAGTGCCGTGGTACCAGGCGAGGACGACGACGCTCCGGCTAGCTCTCGCCCGAGAACGAACGCGCGAACAACTACCGGAAAGCGTCGGAAGGTACTCGAAACGAATCGACAAGGCGCTGCCAGGCAGGCATACCCGTGCTATATACGACTCGCTGAAAAGGATAGAAGCAGATGTGCTGGTGCAGCTCCGCACCGGCATGATTCGACTGAACAGCTATCTCCGCAGGATAGGAGCAGCGGAATCGGGTCTGTGTGATTGCGGACAAGCGACAGAGACGGTAGAACACTTTCTTTTCCGGTGCAAGAACTGGACGGCACAGCGGGAAATCTTGCTGAAGTGCGCACGAACAAAGATTGGGAATCTGTCCTTCTTTCTGGGGGGCAAGGCTGCCTCGGATGACGACAAATGGGAACCGGACATGCAGGCCGTGCGTGCGACGATCAGATTTGCAATGGCGACAAAGAGGCTGGAATCGACCGGCGTCGCTCAGGGTGTGGATCAGTAACATGCGATAATACTAACAAAACAGCCTCGGCTGTGGCAGACCGTGCTTCAGTTGCTGAGAATAGGATGCTGAACACTTGAAGAACTTGGCCTTCAAGCAGGCCTGTCATGGGATCAACAACGATGAGGTTGGCTTACAAGTGCTGTGTCGACTTTATCTGTGGGGCTTGGGGTGATACGTACCAAACGAACCAGATCGTCAACTAGGTAGCGTCGAGGCCCTATAGGGACTTCCCTCCGGGCGTAATAAAATCCATCCATCCATCCGTACAGGGTTGCAGCAGTTTAATAGAAGCTGGATCCGCGATGCCCCACATCCGAGGACAGTGCCGGGTTGGGGATTGGATGAGTCCTGAGTCGCTTGATCATGTTCTAGTGGTCTTGTTAGCGTCTCTCGCTTGCTTTTTTCACTCCCGTTCCCCCTAGGCTAGGGTCTTCTGCTGGGGATGCGCCTCACATTTTGATCATCTGGCCAGGTAGGGGTGCTCGAGTCCGTGGCTCATCTGTCGCTTGGCCTTTTCAATTCTTCTCAAATTGGCGAATCATCCTGAGCGATCAGCTGTCTAAAGCAATCAATCTATATTTCGGCTGTCCATACATGCTATCAGGCGCATGTTCGTTATCCTCGCCAGTACCGGTAGAAACCACGGGCAGTTCACGCGGGACCCCTTGATCTTCCCGCATCGGTAGCCCTGGCACAGGTAAACTCGGCTCTGATTCTCTTATTTTCTTCCTTGACAATGTATCAGATCCATGTCGCTGTCCGGACACACGGCACCACAGTCACCAAGCTCCAAGTGCTTCAACGAGGCTCGCACGGTACGGCAATGCAGTGGTTTTTGTTCGTGCTACCATGCGGATTTGCCCGCCTCACGGACGAAATGTATTCTTCGCATGCCCCTGCGGGCCTGGAGTCAGTGTGGCTAACAGACCGACCGACCGTCTGGGTTCATCGCGGCCTCCGGTCTGTCGTTCTGAGTCCGTCTGCTTCAGCAGCCCGGTCGGTCTAGGTCTGACAGTCCGATCGCGTTATTGTGCTATGGTATACGACAGTCAGTGAGTCGGCTGCCAAGCATGTGGACAACACCATACAGGACAATCGGCACAATAGAATTCGGATAGTAGCCGGCAAGTGACGAGAAATATTCACGGATCCCGATTGAGCGGGTGTATAGAATCGTGCGAGTCTCGTACGGAACGGGAGACTTTGGTATCCCGATCAGTGGCAATTCAGCCCCAGATCCCGACAGGCAAGCTATGCGGCACCATGCTGAAGAATCGATGTCTAGCGCCGAAAGGTGTGGTACAGGGCAATTGGCTTTGTACGGCAACTGACACCTAACTGTCCGACTTCAGAGTTGGGAGACCTCGGCTATCAAGAGCACAATTTAATCTTTTGTGCAGGCATATTCCTGACCCAATCCAAGGTAGGATGTTGCACGCCTGTCATGGTGCAGACCGCGGTTCGTCCAACGGACAGAGATGCAGGCCGGTCGCTGGAACTGGCCAGCAACACGCGACCTGCAGCCGCCTTAGCGCCTGATCAGCGACCCTAAGCAATGTGAGGGTCTTAATGAAGCTATATTTGCTCGACTTGATTGAGCATTGGCTCAGGCAAGCCAGCGTTTTGGATCAATTGCATAATTGTCACTTCGTCGATATCGTCGCCGCTTGAGCTACCGATGATGGGACTGTTGACATCCTCGATTCCGAGCGGAAGACGGTCCGGGTCCTCCTTAGCTTCTTTTGGTCCCCGGAAGTCGATAATAGTATTGATACCGAGACGTTGCAGCTGTGCGATGTCACTTGGGCTGATCTGCGATAAGTTGGCGCTTCAGAAGATGCGGCCGCCAACTACGAGCTTGCCGTCGGTTGTCGGATAACCACCAATCTCACGGGTGTTAAGCGTGCTCTCCATGTGGATACCGTGATTGACAGTCATTGGCCGCTGGGTATCTGCAATCAACAATACTCGGTAACGGAGAGGGTACGACGGAGGTAAACTACCAACGGCCACACTGGACTCCCGAGCCCCCTGCTTGCTGAAGAATTGGAACGTCATCTCAGCCGCGACACTGTTGCCTGAAGAGGAGCAAATTTGGTTCATGGTATAGGGAGCAACAAGAGAGAATCGTCAATTCATGTCCCTAACTCATGTCTTTGATGATGGTTGCCCGTCATCTCACTTCTTACCGTAGCTTCACCGCTCACCTCTCCAGGAATTACCTTGCCAAGCGGGGATGATCAAACTCCGGGCAGCTTGGAATCTGTTCCGGGCCTTTCGTTGGCCATCCTTATGCGTCTCTCCCGTAGAAACATCGCCATGAGCCCAACTGTGGCAAGCGTCAAAGGCGCCCCAATTCCCACGCCAACACCGACAGCCCCCGCCGCAGACACACCACCAGCCGCCGCGTCACATTGTTCCGCTATCGACATCGCAGAGCTTGTCACAGAGTGTGTCGCCACGGATCCTGTCGCAGTTCCTCCCGCTGTCGTGGCGGCAGTCGTGGTGGAGGGTTGTCCGATATCCAATAGTAGTGCGGCATTTCTCAGTATCTTCGAGTCTGGCACCGTGAAGTTGGCCGAATTGCACGTAAGCGGCGTGCAAGCGAACTTGTTGTCGCCACATGTCCAGACACCAGATTGCGAACCACCCACTGCGTCAGAAGAACCTATTAGCACGATTCTAGTACCTCAGTCCAGTTTGCCTTTCTACCATTTAGCTCATATTTGTCGCCATAGCAATACGAGGCGCATGATTGTGAGTTGAAAGTCTTGTCGGTGCAGCCCGCCCGGTACATAGTCATGCCCTGTGGGTTAAAGCACAGCCCATTTGACAGCCCGTAATGCCCTTCGAAGCAGCAAGGTGAGTACGCTGGGTCTGGACCGGCTGAGCAGGCGAGGAGATTGTCGGCGGTGCTTCCGTTCGGCCAATAACATTTCTGAGCTATCCCTGTCGACGCAAGGGAAAGAAATGCGACGAGATTCCTGAGGTCCATGGTTGGTGGTTGACCAACGTTGGTCAACATTAGCCCATTTGCATCTGAGGCGACGAGAGTCCGGAACATCAGTGACACGACTGCGAGTTGGGGTGGTTGGGAAACACATATTTACGCCCGCCAGGCCCACGGCCGACATACCCGAAGGATCTACGGGAGTACGTGGGTGAACCCACTTAAAGGAAGGCAATTGCTAGGCAGGCCGAACCACTTTGCTACGGAGGCAGCGTTACGGACGCCGTGTGGCTGGCTCTCGTTCCGGCGCTCCCCCCCAGCCATCCGCAGGGAGGCCCAGGGGAGCGGGGTTCAATTCAGTAGTGCGCTGATGGCCCGAGGTCGCATTAGCAGCACTGCCCTGGCCAGTCGCGGCGGGAGTGGTGGCTTGCTGGTCAGTGGCTGGGGGAGCCGTGGTAACAGCGGTGTTTGTTCCGGCCGCACTCCCCGCGGACACCGGAGCTTGTTTACGCTTGTCTGTATTTCCATCGGGCGTCGTATCACGCGTCATTCCTCCGACACTCCCCGAGAACACACTGCTTATTTGCGTCTCTGGCGAAGACCTATCAGCTCCTAGCGCTGAGGAAGCTCCTGGCTCATAATGGTAGTGCCTTGCTTCGGGCACAATCCACGACTGCTCTTGCAAGACTGCTTCCATCCATACTCCACTGTTTAAGGGATTGCTTTGCAAGGGGCCGCGTGGACGCGTCGTTCGTCCTGTATATATGGCCCGTATCAGTGCCAAATGGTATAGATTATGTTTCAACTTTTGCATCCGGGAATAGGGTGATGAAGATCAAACGGGCGGAGCGACTTTGTCTTGCGGTAAACCCTCACTTGGAATACATAGTTCGGAGCTCGACACTGAAGTACTGCTCTAACGACGCCCAAACCTGGGGTACGGCATACGGGCCCTTCAGCGGGAAAGCGGCACGCACGCCTCCCTGTAGGATCGCTCTGTGCGTCACATTACGGGCGAATTGGTCTGATCGCGGAATGTGGCTGAGGTAGTGGGCGTTACAGATACACACGAGGTGCCGCCTTTGCCGGTCCGATGGTCGACTACGACTCGATGCTTTGGGGTTCACCAGCATGAAGACCGGGAGAAATGTCAAATGACAGGAAAACAGGGCATTCGACAATTGAATATAAAAGGGCAGCTCAGGCCGCTCCAAATGCGACATCTCCAATGAAGCAACTGTCAAGCAAGCAATCTTTCCATTCAATTACTCGCTCTTTGGCCTCAGTGCAACATCAATTTTAAACCAATCACGACAGACAATCACAATGAAGTTCATCACTGTCGCTTTTTTCACACTTCTCACCGGCGCGCTGGCCGCACCGCAGGCTGGTGTCCTCTCCGACGATGAGAAGCGCGACGTCGCCGCCCGAGGCTTCGATGGCGCCGCGGTGCATGAGGTGGACGGCAGGCACGTCGGCGACGCTGTCGCGCTTGAGGGTCGCGACTTCAATGCTAAGGAGGATGGCGAATTAGAGACTCGCGTGCCCAAGAAGAAGAAGGGCAAGGGCAAGGGCAAGAAGAAGGGTAAGGGCAAGAAGGGCAAGGGCAAGAAGAAGGCAGCCAAGGCAGCCACTACCACCGCAGCCGCTGCTGCTGCGAATACTGTCGTGAACACTGCCGCGAACTAGATCAGCATTCTTGGAGTTGTTTAGATGGATGTGGCACCTTGCAGTAGCTGAGGGTATCAAGGTACTGTACAACGGTGTTTGGCATCTTGCGTTGGCGATGTGAAAGATTTGACGTTTGCCCGCAACAGTCTTTGGTGGATGCTCGCAACATGTGCTCCTTATATTTCAGGCTGGAATCCATGATCACCCCGAAAACTTTGACATGTGCCTTTGGTTCGACCACCTCTCCCTCGGCAAGGATATCATGCATTGAATACTGAATGCCAGGCGGTCCGTCGCACAATTGTCGCACCGTCCATGCCTCACGCGTGGGTTGAACCGCCGCCTTCCTTCACCAATGTCAATTTCGAATTTGCGTTCCGGACCGTCTCAACTGCCCTGCTGAGGCCGAGGCCACGTCTCACAGTTACAGGGCCGAAGGGCGACTTGTCTGGCTCCGAAACTCAAAGTGAGAACGAATCTGCGATGTCTCGCGGCGAGTCAATTGCTGCAAATTCCCTTCACGACGGAGCGCTTGAGTCATCGGCCATGGTGCTGAGCCGTTCGGAACTGATTGTCGAGCCGACGCGCACTGACTGAGATAATAACCCCCGTCAGCTTCGTTGTCGGACCGACTGACAGGCCATGTTGCAATCGAGTTCACCGCAGGCGTATTATTCATAGTTCTCTCCCCACGACAGAACGTCGAGAAATCGAAAGAAGAGGGTATTACCCACGGTTGTTGCGTACGGCTGGCAACACAGCCATCGCAAAATCATCCGCCTGGCAACACACAATGTGGCGGCCACGCCAATGGCGAAAAAAAATAATAGATTGGTCCGACGACCTAGTGAAGTCATCAGGCGGGCGTCGTAAGAATGCCAAGACGAGCTACCCAGGTGGTCGAAGATGGGCGTCGTCACTCGGCCGTTGAGGCTATACATGGGCGCGGGCAACACCTTGAGCGCTGTGCGGTTGGCCTGGCGCGCGTGAATCACTGACGCAAAATGACAACCAGTGCTGAACATGACGGTCGGATACGGTAATCCCAGCCATTGCCGGTCGTAGACAATCAGGTTGCGCAAGATGTCGTTGACGAAAGTGTTGTGTCGTTTAGCCATCATGAAGCCGATACTGAAGCCCGTGGGCTGCGCCTCGACTGCCACGAATTGAAATCGCCGCAAAGGGCCCAGTGCTCTCTTGCACTTGAGGTCCATATCAAGAACCACACCACCATACTCGTACAGCACCATGTACCGCAGAGCGTCGACGCGTTCGATCAGGTAGGGATAGTTCTCCCATGTCTCGAGGAGGTCCGGGTATTTCTCGGCGACAAACTGCACAGCCTTCTTCTCCGTCCAAACGTGCGACTCCCATCCTGGGTGCAGGTCGATACAACTCTGCACCGCCGTTCCCCAAATATCTTCCCACTGGCGGCTGGGCTGGCCCAAATCGACGTGATGTAGTATCGGCGGCACGAGGTCTTCATCCGGCACTGCCGATAGTTGATATTTGTCGTAGTCAAGAAAGGTGATGTCAAAGTCGTCGTGCGCTTTGGACAGTATGAATTGGTCTGCACCATCTCGCCATCTGACACGGAGCGCTGCAAGTGTCCACGTCGTGTAGAGTAGGTCGCGGAAGAACAAAGCTAGGCCGATGAGCGTGAAGACAGTAAAAGCGGCGGTTCGGGTACACTTGGCCTGCACAGCATGTGGCGGGAAGGGCAATCTGATCGTGATTGCGGTGGATATTTCGTGGTGACTGGTGGAGTACCGAGGAAAGGGTCCAGGCCAAGCGCATCCACGCCTATCGCGAGGCAACGCCGGGGCCTTTCTGCCGCAGTTCCAGCAAGGCAGCGGCTACGTGATGGTTTGACGAGGAATAAGGGCAAAGACAGGTGAGAAACAGTGCATAGAGCGCATGAAGGATGAAAGAGGAACTTGGCGCCGATACGAGTTGGGGAATGCGATAGAGGTTGCAGCAAAATTGTGAAGCAACTCTGCCTCTGCTTTGCGGCCAGTCACGCAATCGTCATTAGGCGCCGCGTTGCTGAGCTCAGTTTTTCACCGGATGCGGAGGCACACCCCATCTTTTGGAGAAATACCGCAATGTACTTCTCGACCGACGAGTTTGCTCTGTGCCCAACTCACACCTGATTGGTCGTTCCCCAAGCCTAATCCGGCAAGGAATAACTTGGAAACGGTTTCCCCAGCGTTTCGCTTCGTCTTGACGCTCGGCAATCTGCGTCTTTCGGCTTCGTCCCCACGGCAGACCCTGACACCAGCTTGGGCAATGGCCAGTAGCGACGTGCCTTCACGAGTCTGATAAGGATACAACTTCTTTAGTCTCTGGCCCTGTGACAACGCCGCTTTTCCCGGCCGGCTGATACGTCACGTTCGAGCTTCTGGGGACACGGTTAACGCCGTGACGAACATCGTGGCGTTATTCGTGGCGCAAGCCTAGCGAGAATCTGGGCCACAATCGTGCCGTGACTGCCGTGCGTACCAGGTGTAGCGAACGCCCAATGGCTCACACAGCCCAGACCCATCGGCTTCAGGGAGACCAAGAATCTTCCGCGGCTTGCCATGGCTCCGCCCCCTGGCGCCAGCTTCACTAACACAGCAGTTGCTGACAAGTCAAGCTCAAACCAGGATGTTTGCCCCATGTGGAACACTCAACCTAATCTCCACCAAGACGTGGTTTCCAGCTGGTCTCCAGGGGCCATGGACGCCTTCCGATGTCACTTTCCCTCTGCCTTGCCCAGGAGAGGGGTCTATTCAGTATCTAGCCGCCGTCTCTGATGCCATGCTTGTTGACTGGCCTCAATCCTTGAGCACATCGCATCACACAAGCGCTGGAGCCACATCTAGAAACGCGGCGATCCTTCCGCCTTCCCCCGCCAGTGGCGTCAACTTGCTCCTACCTCAAGTCCGGCACCCCATACTAGCGGATATGCGCGTGACAACCTGGGCCCTCCCATTCTGCCACAGCTTCTTCAGTGTTGTGCCGCCGCCGCTCTGACAATCTGTGTTCGACACCAGACATCGCGGTCGCGAATGTCCGCATATCAAAGAATGGCCCATCCCGGGTCGTCACCCGTCATCAAGTGGCAGTTCCCAGTCCGTCTACTCGCCTAGTATACTCTTGACTGGATCATCCTTGTTGTCGTCATCGCTGGTGGTTTCCTTGGACGGATCACACCCAACAAGCGACCCTTTGCCCTTGACGACCCGGGCATCGTGAGTTCTCTGACCCATTGCGTTTATTCTATGTGCCACGCTAACTGGGCAATATCCTGTATAGATTTCCCTACGCTGATCATGAAACCGTTCCGACCTGGCTCTTCGTCGTCCTCTCTGCCCTTGTCCCCGTTGTCATCATCTTCATGGTGTCCATACTGCTCATCCCTGGTGGCACGGTACCCAAGAAGACACCCCTAAGCCTCATCTGGAGGCTCAAGTTATGGGAGCTTCACGTTGGCTGGCTAGGGTTGCTCATGGCTGTCGGCTCGGCTTCTTCTTCGTTTCTGGCATCAAGAACATGTGTGGCAAGCCGCGACCCAACCTGCTTTCGCGCTTCTAACCCAAGATGAGTCTAGCAAGCCCAGTTTCACTCTGCTACCTCACGATCGTGGTGTGTAGAACAAGCTGTGGTCGCAGTCGTTTCCTATGTCGCTATCTGATAGTCATCTTCATCCCGCCAGCCGACTGACAGCACCAAGAGATTCAGGCAGCGTGAAGCAAAGACTAGCTGAGGCTGCTATCTTCTGCCTACTATCCTCACGATTTGGGAGCCTGCTATGGTATTCCGTAATGCTACATGACGAAGAAACGTGGAGCCATATGCTGCGTACTCAAGGAATTCCATGTAACCATTCCGTACGATGTTACAGGAGGTGGCGCCTCTCGTTATGGATTACAGCACCTCCGTCAGTATGCCTCGCCTGACAGGATTGTACTGGTCAAACACTAGTGCAGTTCAGACGTATAAAAGGAAGCCGTTTCCGCCATCCTCTGTTGCTTTCCAACGCTAAGATATCATCCTGCTCAGTTTGGTTCCCATTCCTGCAAACATGTCTTCCCCTTTCCATAATGAAATCACCTCCTCGCGTGCCCGTGGTAGGGAGGATTCAGTGGATTTAAGACATGAAGTCTGTTACGAAGATTCGGTCCATCAAATTTCCGCCACGTTAGGTCACGCTGCCTCCGGGAACATCTCAGGTGGGCTTCCCGTCAGTATTACAAGCGGCGTCTGACCAACAATGCAGGGCTCGCCATACCGAATCCGCCGGCTTTACGACAGGAGCAGAGCTTTCGACTTGACAACGGGACACGCCAGCGATGTGAAGAACGCTTCGACATTGACTGCTATTCTGAAGCGGCAACTATATCGAATAGCCCTACTCGCTACAGAGCGACTCCATCACCCTTCCAACTCGAGCCTGCCCAACTGGCCGCCCAACTCGCAAATCGCAACGAATTGCAGAAAGGGAACTGAAAAAGTCCCAGCATATAGAGGGCAGCAATTTGGCTATCACAGCCAGCTGCCTGCGTGCGGAAGTGGAGATGGCACTGTCGTCCTTCGCCATTGCGCTTTTTTTAGCGCTCGCGACAGTGAGACTTAGCGGGCCGCTCGCTCTTGGCAGGTCAAGAAATACCTAAACTGCAAAATGTGTTGCTCATTCTCTGACCTGGAATCTTCTTCCTACTATATATAGACGTCAATCCGTGCATCCAATGCGGTCTATGGGAACAATTTAGCTAAGCAGAAAAAACGGGGCTCCGAGGTGATGAATGGCAGCGCATGCGTCCGTAGGTGGCTTGGCGCAAAAGATATCCATGGTGAAACAAATTCCAGCCACGCATCGACCCATTCAGCCATCCCTCACCCCTACAACCTCGACATCGGGCAACCCACGTGTCGACTCTTTATCGCCGGTTTCCATCCTCCAAGTGACGAACTGGATCCCTTACCTAGACATGTTGTGTTGGAGGCCGCGCTGGCGGAATGATTGGCTCGAGGAGCACCCAAACATCGATACCGTCGTCACTCACCTCCGTGCCTATCTTCCGCCTTTGAACTTCATCACCCTTCACTACGCCTAGTTCATCCTCGTCTGTCTTGTCACCTCAGTCATTTTCTGGGGCTCATCGCGCCCCGCGTACAGTGTCAGCTATGTCGACAGTCTTTTCATGACCGTGTCCGCCATGACCGAGGCGGGATTGAACACGGTCAACCTCAGCCAGATGAATACCTGGCAGCAGGTCCTCTTGTTCCTGCTTATTATGTTCGGCAGCTCAATATGGGTTTCCATCTGGACGGTAGCTACCCGTCTGCACGTGTTTGAGAACCGCTTCGAAGCCATTGTCCAAGCCGAGCGCGAGAGGGATAGAGACTTGAGGTTGCGCCGCCGCGGCAGTGCCACCAGCCTGCCTCTCTTCAAGAGAGTCGCGGCTTTCCGCAAGACCTTGACCTCTCCTCCGGGAGACCCGACGCTCCCGGGTATAGGATCCCGCATACCGCAGAAGACGTCATATGGCGATGCAGCAGCCGATCTGCCACACTTGTCCTGGAGTGGACAACAGCGCACAGCGTCTCTCCCAGAGCTAGAGAATACAGAGCGCCACAAGCATCCTAACCTTTCAACACAATCGTCGCCCAGTGCGGTCGCCATGGCCGAGCGTCGTGCCTTTACCACTGCCCACATAGCTTTTGCTGACAGGCCTCACCCAAGAAGCGGCGATAACGTCAACACCACGACGACTTTGAGAGCACAGGAGCGCCAGAACGAACCCGTGAGGAGAGACGGCGCCCCGAACGCTGCAGAAACGGATCATCAGAAGATAACGACAAAGAGTTGGCATATGCACGATTTCCTGGCCAACAAAACGGTGGGCCGTAATACCCAGTTCCCAGATCTGTCGACCGAGGAGCGCGAACATCTTGGTGGCTGCGAGTATCGTGCACTGAGGATCCTCGTAGTCATTGTTCCGCTGTACTTTTTACTGTGGCAGTTTTTGGGATGCGTCGCTCTAGGAGCCTGGATAGCGAACTACCAGCCCGAAACCGCCCGGCAGAACGGAATTGATCCATGGTGGCTGGGCATCTTCAATGGCGTGTCGGCGTTCAACAACTCCGGCATGTCACTTCTGGATGCAAACATGATTCCCTTCCAGCGCGCTTACTTTGTACTCATCACGATGAGTCTCATGATCCTGGCCGGAAACACGGCATATCCAATCTTTCTTCGGCTGATCATATGGGCGATCCTGAAGGTGCTCAGGGTGGCCACGGACGATGAGACGTCCTGCGACCTGAAGTCGACTCTCGAGTTCATTCTCAAGTACCCGCGACGAGTCTACACGAACCTCTTCCCTTCGCGTCCGACGTGGTGGCTGCTATTCATGCTCATCTGTCTCAACTCGATCGACTGGGCTGCGTTTGAGCTGATGAACTTCGGAAACCCCGCTGTTGAGTCTATTCCTCTGGGCGCTCGCACGCTCGACGGGCTATTTCAAGCGTTTGGTAGGCTTCTATAATTCGCCTTCTAGTCCATTCGGCCTTTGTTAAATCCTTTTTAGCCGTACGCTCTGGTGGCTTCTACGTCGTACCCATCTCATCACTCTACATCGGCGTCCAACTTCTATACGTGATCATGATGTACATATCTGTCTACCCCGTGACGGTTACGATGCGTCACTCCAACATCTACGAGGAACGCAGTCTCGGCATTTACGCCGACGAACCGGAGGTCGAGTCAGACGCGGAGGAGACCATGCAGCTGCCCAATCGCGATCGCCTCTCTTCACGGTCGCCGCTCGTCCGCCGAATCAGCCGCTCCAGCACGGCTGTGTCTGTGAGCCAAGCGATCAAGCGGTCTTTCATACCATGGCACGGTGTCGGTGTGCCGCCGCAGCGCAAGACTCGCGGCGGTGGCGCTAGTGTGAGCCGAATCAGCTTCATTTCACAGCAGATCCACGGCCAGCTTGCACACGACATCTGGTGGCTGGTTCTTGCGGTGCTAGTCATCACGACGATCGAGACGTCACAATTCCTAGCAGATCCCGTCACCAATTCCGTCTTCAACATCATCTTCGAGGTCGTCTCCGCGTATGGCTGCGTTGGCATCTCTGTCGGCCTGCCTGACCAGGCTTACAGCTTCAGCGGCTCGTGGCACCTCAGCAGCAAACTCGTCCTGTGCTTGGTCATGCTACGTGGCCGCCACCGCGGCTTGCCTGTCGCCCTTGACCGTGCGGTCAGGCTCCCTGCAGAACAAATGCATCGCGACGAGGAAGAGGATTATCGCATCCGCAAGACCATGACGCGCTCCAGGATGAGTGTGGGTTTGCGCGACTCTTGAGTGTCACGGCGACTGCCTTGCTCACAATGTTTTCTGTGCTAGCAAAAGCTGAGATACGGTCGGCTGCATGTTAGTCTTTAGAAGACGAGATCCACTGGCGGTGAATAGTGAAATGCGTGACCCTCAAAACCAACAGTCTGCTCCTTGAGTCAAAACTGGTGCCGAGCCGAGCGAAACATGCATCAACTCCATCGGCTTGAAGGTAGGGACCATTGGGCATCGAACGAATGCAAAATTATCGATTGAACTACGAATCTCATGCTCAAGTCTACTCCCAATCCACGTTCCAGCCAGACTAATAATGAATCGCTGCCTCTACCTCTCGCTCGCTCTTTACATAGTCGGCAATTACCCTCAAAAGTGGGAAGGCGTTTCAATTACTGGCCAAGGCACAATGTTACTGATCCGATGGCTATTATCTCAGAATCTTGGAATCGGCAGTCAGGACCAATACCCAACTACCGATTCAGAAACGGCTTCTTTCGGGTAAGGCCCCTCGTGCTCCTTCTGACCTGGCTTCTGACCTGGGTCAGAGCACCATCGGCCTTGCGATGGGATCTATCATGGTAGAACCGCATAGGACATACCAAGGGGCCTAGATTGCACGTGAGTTGCGATCACGCAAGACCGCCTACTGTCGGATGGCGCCAGTGGATTTGCTCACATAGTACGGTACTTATTGCTTCAAAACCTCGTGAATACGACGAGGGTGGAAATGAATGTCGTCTTTTTGTCTTCCACCCAGACACGGCATGGAGAGGGTGCCTTTTTACGACTTCAAGGCACCGAAGGAGCACTTGCTTCCAATTTTCCCTTAGCGACGAACATGATCTCCAGAGTGTTGCCGCGTGTCTCGCTCGAGCGAGAAAGGTCGTCGTTCCGATGGGTGCCGGCGTCAGTACAGCCGCGCAGATTCCGGTAGGCATGCAGTTGGGAAGGCCGGGACGTGTCTGACTTACCCAGGACTTCCGGTCGAGCGGCGGCCTCTACATAAAGGGAGAGGTCTTCACTAAATGCGCTGCGCGTTCTCCGGAAGGGCGTGCTCGTCTGCCCAAGGTCGTATTGGAACTTCGTCAGAAAGCCCGCATCGCGAGACCGACGCAGACACATCGCCTGCTCGACACTTTGCGCATCCGTGGCCAACTTCTTCGATGCTAAACGCAGAATATCGACATGCTCGAAGAAAAAGCAGGACTGTACGTCGGCGTTGACCCTGGATACAACTGTGTCCCGCTTCACGGCTCCCTGCGTCACCTTCGCTGCCCTTCTTGCTGCGACCTCTTTTGTAATTGGGCCGACTATGATGCGTTCATCACGGCTGGAGATGCTGTGTTGTGCCCATCCTGCGCCGCCGCTTGCCAGGCAAGAGTAGGTGCTGGGAAAAGGCGCAGCCATATCGGTCACCTCTTGCCAGATATTGTGTTGCTAGGCGGTGAACATCGGGATGGTGAGGCAATTGGAAGCATCATCGCCAAGGATGTGGCCGCAGGGCGTGATTTCCTTTTCGTTCTGGGCATAAGCCTTCGGGCTCATGGTCCGAAACGACTCGCTGGCAGGCTTGCGAAAGCTGTGTCTGATCGGCATGGGACAGTCGTCTACGTCGACTTGTCCAAGAGGTGTTCATGGAGCAGGCAAGTTGACTTTCATATGTGTATGCCTTGTGATGAATGGGTTGAAGACTTGAAGGAGGAAGTCGATTATTCATGGTGGATCGGGCTCGGCAGAAGATCCTATTGTTATCGACTGAGCTCCTTCCAGTACATACGAATAGACATTGACCTCTGTTTTCTATTCTGGGAGATGTCCGCTTCTGGAGGGATGCTGGCAGCTAGCAAGCCGCGCGAATCGAGGGCCTTGGTTCTCGCACGAACACATTTCCGTTTGAGCTATCCAGGACAAAGCAGCCCGACGAGACTCACGACTGATGGTGGCAAGATGCATTGGAACACGAACTTTATCCAACAAGTGTGGATCAAAGTCCGCGCGCATAACTTTTCGACCGGCGATATACGCTTCGTCAAGTTCCGAGACGTCGAAGAGTCGCAGGCAAGCCCGCCTGTAGGGCAACAAGACTGGCCCGTCGTTTTCGCCCAGCGAGATGTGCCATACTTGCATTCGTATCTCCGGTGGGAGTTTGTGGAATAGTGGAAAAGAGCTGCAAGCCGCCCTGTTCTTGCTTTCTGGGGCCTGGCCATCATCTGGGCAGGTGGTGTATGGCTGGGTCTGAGGGAACCTCGGATCTAGACTGTCCACTCCATGGTGCGCTATGCCTTCGCTTGAAGCCGCTTCGCCCAACACTGAAGAACCGGATGACATTCTGATCGAGGGTCCGGAGTCGCGAGGCGATCGTGAGTCAAGAGATGACGAGAGTCATCAAGGAACAATGAGAGGAAAGAGGGGTTAAGGGAGTTGAAAGAGGGGCAAAGAGCGAGATATGCCGCGGGGAGGAAGAGGCGTATTAATAGCCGGGCGCGGGCATCTGGGCCTCCTACTTGCCCGGATGATTAGCCAAGGAGCAGGCAGACGAGGCAGCCGCATCTCCGTAAGAGCGACAGTCGGCCCAAGCCATGTCGAGAACTGTCTCCTCCATGACATGCAGATGCCGGGCGGAGGAGTGTTGGTCGCGAGGTCATCATGTGCGACGCCTCGTCTCACCGATCAAGCCTGGTCAAACCTTGGTCAGCGATGGCCATGAGGCGAAGGATTCAACAACAGATGCAGGGCGCAATTTATGCTGCGGCAATTAGGACGGTGATGAGTCACTACTTGGGGTAGTAATATGCAGTACCCTGGTTCTGTTGCAGTAACAAGGCGTAGCTATATAGACACTCATGTAGCTATCCCTATGCAATGCGATTTTTGCGGCGGAAGTAGCTTACGGTGCCAGGTCGCTTTCCCTCAGTGATTTATCCTTCATATCCACGAAAACAGGCCACTTAGAAGGCGCGGAAGGAGCCGTTGCCGCCCTGACCGTTGTTAATGAGCAGGTTCGCCGTATCGCCCGAGACGCCTGAGATGACGCCCTTGAGGGCGGTCTGAGCAATATAATCGCACAAGCCCTCTGCCTTCTGGCCAAGACCGAGAAAATACGCGCCGATGCCTGCGACGTGGGGTGAGGCCATAGATGTGCCGCTGATCTTATTGGTAGAAGCGCCGGGCCAGGTGGAGATGATATCTGTGCCAGGGGCGAGCACCTTAATGAGGCTGCCGATATTGGAGTAAGTCGCAAGGGAGTCGTCGCTGACGGTGGCACCGACCGTGCAGGCTGTCGGCTCGGAGGCGGGCGAGTAGCCAGAAGCATCGGCGCCATCATTGCCAGCGGCTACGGCAAGGAAGAGACCAGCCTTTACGATATTGGCCGCGGCCTGGTTGACAGCATCGGACTTACCGCCGCCTAGGGACATATTAACGACGACGCCCTTAGGGCAGCTCTGGCAAGGGCCGTCCTTTGCAACGAACTCCATGCCGGCGATTACGCCAGAGTTAGTTCCCCAGCCGCTGGCGTCGAGGGCTTTAACGCCGAGTATAAACGTTTTCTTAGCGACACCATATGTTTTAGAGCCGATGGTACCTGAGACGTGAGTGCCGTGGCCATTGCCGCCAGTTTTATCCTGGTCAATGAATTGGCGAGGAACTTGGCGCGGCCCTCGAAGTCCTTAAAGGAAACATTAGCGTTATCGGAATCATATTGGAAGAGAGATAGGGGCAACAAACAGGGTGCTGGACGTCGACGCCGGTGTCAATGATGTAGGCGCAGGTGCCCTCCCCAGCAGAGTCGTCGTAGGTATAGTCGGTAGAACCAGGGTTTGGGCTAGATAGGCGGGCGAGGCCCCAGTCGGCGTTCTGCTGAGTTGCTGAGATGGTCACGACGGCATCCTTCTCGAGGAACTCGACCTAGTAACGACTCAGCATCCCGAGTACTTAGATTAACGCCCGAGAGAGGCACCGACGTGGGGGCTATTTTGGAGCTTTTCAACCTCCTCCTTAGTCAGGCTGGCGGCAAAGCCGTCAAAGGAGTGAGAGTATATGTAGTCAGCGTGGGCGGCTATGCTCTCTACGGCGGCAGAGACGGCGTTGTTTTCGCCGCTTCTCATCTTGACAATATACTTGCCATCGATGACTTTCGCGTTCTGGGGGATGAGTACCGGAGCGGGCGAGCTGCGCTTAGTGGGGCTCGCGAAGGTAAGGGGAAAGAGAGCAAGGAGCGTGGCGACACGCATTTTGGCGACGATATAAGGATGCTGGACCGAAGTATACGGGTGATATAGAGCAAATTCGCAATGGCGAAGTCAACTTAGAGCAAACTGGAGTAGGCAATTGAGATTAAGGAACACAACAGAGAAAACGGCAATCTTAACGGAGGGACGACGGCGTCTATTTATCGTCTATTTATCTGCCCACACGAATTCGCCAGATACCTCGCATCATTGACCTACCGTCACAGCGACGCCCAATATCGTGATTTTTAATTGTCCCCCTGTTCTAATCTTGAAGTCTAGGGCAAGTTACAGCTTCCACATTCGGCCGATACCTACGCTCGAGATAGCCAGTAGATCGCCGGTTACATCTCAGTGAGTGCCGCCCGTTAGCGCCGCCTCCTCCCTGAAACGGCCAGTGGTTTACCACCTGGCGACTGTGATACGACCCTAGGGGTCTAGGCGTCCCCCCGACCTGTCAAAAACAGAATAGATGCAGGAACTTCTGGTGGTTGATTGTTCTGCGATAGACATCCCTATCCAGGCTCCTTCGGCCGACCTGGAGCAATGGGGACGTCTCGCCAAGCTGGTGAATGCATGAAGGTGGAGCGACGATCCGGTAGTCGCATATAACTAGTTGCCGCAAGGCCATAAGGGTATTATATCACTTAATCAGTTGCTAACTGCCCGTCCCGGACAACACCGAGAAGGGGCTTTTAGGAAGTGAGGCTCGGCTCTTCATACTCATGACGGGATCGTCTCGGGCCGGCCCAATCCCGCTGCCACGAGTTAAGCTTAATGCCGTCGCAAATAACTGCGGGCCAAGTTGCTACCAGTACCTTTCCTGGTCAGCCGTATATTCAATGACGTGAAGTACTATTGAACGCACTCGAGCAGAACAAGGGGGGTTGTCCATCCTCCCAAACAAACAAGTGGGCTTCTAACTGATCTGAAAGCGAAGAAGAGTTTGGTCACGACAATATAGTTTACTGGTTTTGGTGCATGCTTTCACGGAAGTTTCCCGAAGCGCGTACGGGTAAGGCATCAAGCTTGAATATACGCGAACCACCATCTAACGCGCCCACTGCTGTCATGTACGTTGGCCAAAGCCGTGCCGCTCCCATGTCCCGTGGCTCTACCCCATACGCCAGATATCGGCAATGGTGACGCAGTAATCAGGGGCGATGTCCGGCAACGAGCTGTATGAGATTCGCTCGGCGGTCTGTGGTACGTGCCTGTAACCAGTTTGGAAGCTAAGTGCCGATCGATGACTCGTCTCATTCGTCCCCATGCGCAATCAACTGCTCAGCTGCCTGTTATGTGTTTCCTCCGCACGTCCGCTTCAGTCACGCGCTGCAGCCGCGCTGCCTTCGTGGCCTCGCGCACTTGGCGGATACGAGTCAATGGGCAGATTTGGGCATTATCTCCAATTGGTTTAGCATGGCCACCAAGGCAGTTGGCCGAGCTCCTTAATCTGGCATGTCGGGTCGTTAATAATGCTTTATTAACTGTGCTGCGCATGCAACACAATCAACGCGCGCCCATGCATATGCTTCGAGGGCTATGGCTGAGGCATGGAGCTTTCATATAGCGCCATATGTCAAACAGAGTACTCCGTTGGGGAATCGGGTCAGTATGCCAGAGGATATAGCTGGGGTAGTGGCTTTCTTGGCTGAGGAGAGGTCAGGTTAGGTGACGGGTTAGTGCCTCTCAGGCCTGGTCGAATGATTCGCAGAATGCTTGGAAGACTGCTAATTTGGCGTTATAGGCATCCGTTTGCTCTTGTGCGACCCTGTTGGCCCCTTCGACGATTGAGACGGCCTCCAGAATGGGTTCTAGCGAGGGCATAAACGGCGCGAATGCAGGCTGTGCCCCTTCCGTAACGGCAGAGTTGGAGAGTCAGTAAAGTCGAAGATGGCGTCCGGGCCGGTCGCCGTGGCGCCGGTGGGACACCGATCGGCCGGTCCACAACCGGATAAACTATTTTATAGCTGGGCAGCACGGGCCCGGCCGGCAAAAGTTAGTGAAGCATGATTATCCAGATGAAAGGGATCTGAGATGGCATATGGGGTTGAGGCAGTTGCCATGGCCGCTGCCAGGGCCAGCGCAGAGCACGGGACGACGAGTTGATGGCGCGGCTGTTAGGCAAATTGGTACAGAATACGCTACTTCTTTTAACCTAGGCATGCCAAGGAAGTAGAATGGCAATGGAAATGGGGCCTTGACAGCGGGAGCCAGATCCACCTGTGCTAGGTTCGGCAATGGCCTTGGAGTAGGAGCACTGCTGAGGGGAGTCTTGCCAGTTGAGGCCCTGCACTGGGAGTGATTGTCCTGGATTACCCAGTCTGGGCTATTGACTGCTTGAACTGACGATTTTGTAAGGAGCCTTGATAGTTGTGAACCTAGTTGCGCAGGTGCGCAGCTGTTTTCGGAGGTGGCGAGGTGATGACGCAAGGGACCCACACTTGCTTGTTTATTGGACGACTGAGTGCAGGACAAGGTTTGAACACTCGGTCACGCTGTCCACCCAAAACAGAGCAGTGGAAGGAAGACTTGTCCTGCGTCGGAGACGAGCGCATACTTTTTCATTTTCCGGTAGCCGTCGTTCGCCAACAAGACACGAAGTCACGTCCTAGGCCATATACAACCATATACAACCATGGCTGGTAGGCCTTGATTCTATCAGAACGAAGAGTGGATGAACGAACGAGTGTGAGTCCGTTGTCGGAACTGTGTGGCTGTCTACCGTGGAGCACATACCCCCGCGGCAAGGGAGCCCGTGGATTGAGTCGCGCAGATGAAGTAATCGCGTGCGATTATTGGTGCGACCAGCGACGATGGGTAGTCGCTTTGTGTACTTCTTGTAAGGATGACTGCTCACTCGTACTTTTGCAGATGCAAGCGGGCTGTCCCGCCTCGATGGGCTCAGCATGGTCCCAAGTCATTACTATGGAGCCTTCATCGCCGTCTTCCATATCGATGGAGACAGGATCGACATCCTGTTCCTGTTGTGTTCACGCAGACTGTGTTCCCTTGAAGGAGCGCCGCTTCTGCAGTCACTGGTTCTTTTTGCGCTGGATCGCATACCCTTCCGCTATGCCCTTGGACATGTTTCGAGAGTTGCGGAGTCACTTGGGGGAACACGAGTTCAGTTTCCAACCCGTTATTTGGAGGACGGGCGTCTATGAGGCGCTTTTGAGGATCGAGCCCGGTCCAGACGAGAATGCCCTAAGCATGGCACCTTTGCTCATACCTTTTGCACAGTCGTCTTTCTTTGATTCCGCAAAAAGCGGGGCCTGGCAGTTGCCCTGTTGTTGGGATGCTGTAAAGTGGAATGTGCCGCTTTGGCTGGCTTGCTTCCGATCCTCTGATGACAATGTCATCCTAGGAGAGACAGTTTTGGGTAAGCGGTTACTTGACGAGATTCATGACGCTGCCGAGGGGATGTAAGAAAACAGTGGAGAAGTAAGTGGAACTTTTTTCGAGTGTTCTCCTGGAAGAACAGTTGCTGTACAGTACTGGAAGCACTCTTTACTACCCTCTTCTGCCACTGCCGCACACCTATACCTTCGTCGCGCGGGAACCCCGCAGACTCGTCTCAGCTCGAGTCCACCAAGTTCCAGGACTTGGCTAAAGCACACGGAGCTGTCCAGGTCCTCTGGATCCCAGGGTATGCCGGCATACCGGGCAATGAGGAGGCCGACGGCCTTGCCAAATCAGGATGCCTGCTGCCTGAGCCGCCGGGAGCCGTATCATCACTGGTACACCTGCGGCGACTAGCCAGACAGCAGCCCAGAGATTCCTTCAAAGCATGGTGGACGACCGAAGCCCCAGAGTCGTACAAGCCTCCTGCACCTTGAGGCGACCACAAGCTGCCCACCAGAGCTCATGCTCCCCAGAGGCTGTCGCGCAATACGACCTTACGAGCTCTCCTCTCGGTCTGGAAGAGGACAACACTTAGCACCAGACACCGGGAAGCAGGTATACCGCCCGTGTTACGGTTGCTCGAAGCCGTGTCGAGCGCGCTTTGCAGTATGCCTTGAGTCCCCCGGTGATCCACTAACCATTCACGTCGCGCATTGCGGCGCCAAAATACCTCGTAGCGGCCGCACCGCCGGCCCGGAAGACCACGACAGCATTACCGACCCGCCGCTGTGCGACGCGCTCTTCATCTAGGATACATGCGGTGGCCATCGGTCATTTCGCGATGCGAGCATCGGCGTCCTTCGGGACTCGCTGGTTCGGCAATCCAGCAGTGCCGTGGTGGAACGCCGCCGCATAGACCAGGAAGTTCTCTACATAAGTCATATAGGCTCAAATTATAGAATTCACAAGCTTTTGTGTTCACGGTATTAACATTTATTTGAAGCTGGACAATAGTTTTATATTTCGCCCTAACACGGGGAACAAGACTTTCAGGCCACAGCATCGAAGTTGTTCACCAAATTCTTAAGGCTCATGACCGATGCCGTGGAGTCTCGAGACCTTTGATACCCGCTAGACTTGGGCTGTGCTATCCGGCGCGAGTTGTCTTGGAGGATATGTCGCCGAGACTTAGGCATCCCTGACCGGACCAGAGACGTGCTGGTGGCTGAGGCTTGTAATGGTTCCACGATACCCGTGAAACTGGCCGCCTTCTTGTTTCCCTCTATGCTTTTGTCGTCTCTGGTGTCTTCTGCCGGAGAAGTGCATTTAGAAGGGGAGTGAGCTATCGTCAACCTCGGCTGAACCGGGTCCATGCTGTTAGCACTGCCTTCCTGCATGATTTTGAGCCGCTTTCGATGCCTGCCGCTCTCTACGTCCGCTGCTGAGTTAGTATCAAGTGGCAGTTGTTGTAGTGTTGACGAACAGTGTAGGGCGGTATGAGAAAATGTCGGCATAGGTGCCACATTGGGTCCCTGGCGGATTCCCGCGTTTATAAATTGCCATGAGCTAGGCGCCTTGCTGTGGATTTCGTGGTGTATGTGTTCTGTGATAAGGGATTTCAGGACTGCTGCGTGGGCGTCCGTAGAGATCGGTTCAAA